CATTATGTAAAGAGGGTCCCGTGAAGTTTGGAAGCCGATAGAAGAGACAAAAAAGCGTGGCGACCAAGCGAACCACAACGGAGTGCAGCTATGTTTGTATAAGCATATCTTCCGTGCCTTTGGCATGGTATAGCTCTTCAATGTCAATGTCCTTCACTTGACCAATTTTGGATGTTTCGAACTATATATTTTTTTTCCCGAGCCTGGAAGCGATTGTCACGCACTCGCTCACAACAGGGTTGTTTTGACGAGCAGCTAGCCTATGCCATGCTGCCAGTGCTGTACCGCATCCAGGCTCGTTGCGGATGCTGAAGGTATCATTTCGCATGTCTTTCCACCCCGCTTTCCAAGAAGACAAGTCAATTTAGAATGAGGTACAATTTTATTATAATAGATTGATGGATCAAGGGTGATCGAGGCACACTTTCACCAGAGGAGTTTTGTTACATGAGAACCAACAACGACTTCGATTCCGAAGCAGAATTCAGACGTCAACTGCTCTGTAGAATGCATCCGATCGACGTGAATGTTCTGTTCATGGGCAGGGCCGAAGCCGCCTGAGGCCCTGAAGAAACGCTCTGAAGAGCGGAGTCTAAGCAGAGGTGGAGCAGGTTGGATCTCGATGTGTTGTGATCAGCATTGACCATTGGTTTCTGACAGAACATTCCAAAAGCTTTGGAGAAGGATTCATCCTGGTTCATGTGTTTTTTTGGCTCAAAGTGATAGTCAGGTCGACTAAGTTGGTGTTTGTTTGAAAAATCTGAGTTTCTGAGTTTCAGAGATTGCCACGTCATGATTGCCACGTTGGCGCTAATGGCCATGTTGCCCAGCCTGACGGTGAACGCCGTCCGGGAGAGTACCGGTAAGTTCTTGCAAGACCACCGTGACCACAGTGAGCGTCTCTTCACCAAATGTCGTAGTGCCAAGTGCAGCAGTCAAAGCTTTGAGCTCTCAGGAGATGGAGGAAGACTTCTATTCGAGGAGTGCCAGGTCAAAGAGAACCAGCCCCTCGAAACAGCGAGTGGTGAGACCATGTGCCAGGAAACATGCACTGTCAGAGACTCGAAGGATCAGCCCAGGACCGTGACAGTCTGGCACAAAAGTGGCCACGGACTTCAGGTTTGCCAGTTGCAGGTGGGCTATGACTTCTGTGAAGACACCTGCTGCCGTAGCAAGTGCAGTGGCCAAAGCTACGAACTGAAAACCGAATGGAAAGGCCAGTGGCAATTCCAGGATTGCGAGTTGAAGGGCTCCTTTGGCAGTGGGTACCGTACCCTATGTGCGGAGAAGTGCACGGTCGTCCACACCAAAGAATCGCAACAAGTGCTGGTCTTGCGGGAAAGCGGGCCTGAACCACAGTGTGAACTGCAGAAAGTCGGGTTTCCAGAAATGGCCATTCAATTTGTTGAACAACTCGAACATGATGCCCTGAAAATTACGGATGGCGAGTATTGGCGGCTGCCGCTGATGGAGGCAAAGAAAATCAAATTCTTCCTATCGAAAGTGAAGGAAGACGTCCTTATGCCAGAGTTTCAAGCTGCTGAGGGGCATGGCGCCAGCCGAGAGATCTCGACGGAGGTCAAACATGTCGCGATCATTGGAGATCTTCATGGACAGCTCTTCAATCTCATTGCTCACTTGATCCGTATCAAGGAGACTTACAAGGACAAGGGGTTCATTCCGCTTGATGGATCCTCGTTGCTTTTCTGTGATCCGCGCATGCAGTACATCTTCCTGGGCGACTACGTGGATCGGGGTGAAAGAGGAATTGAACTGCTGCTGCTCCTGTTAGCCTATAAGGCAAGGGTTCCAAAGGGCTACGCACCGCAATTGCATTTGTGAATGTGGATATTTCGGACACTTTGGTGCAGCAGGAAGTAAATACGTGCAAGTGTGAACCCCCGCGTATGAGCTTTATTAAGTGCAACATGGCCCAGATATCAGAATCCAGACTTGGAAACAACTGTTTCAATGTGGCTGTTTTTTGTAATCAATTGTTTGTAGCAGATACAAGAAACTGTGCCTTTCTTCGCATTGTTACTTGACTATTTGGCCCTTACGAGAGAGTGTGCCTTTTTGCAAGCTGATAAATGGACATATGTGACATAAACGGACGGAGATATGTCTTAGTATCAGTCACACGTCAGCATGACTTGGTAGCAGCTGACATCCACGTCCCTTCGCAACGTGGGACGCGACGACGCTCCGATGCTGGGATCGGTGACGCGAGACGACCGCCACACTGGCAGAGACGCTGGCTGAGTCGCGCTACACTTCTAAAGAGTTGCGCAACCTTTGCCTTCAATCTGCGCAAACTTTCATCCTCCCTGTCTCACAAGTTGAGCCGCGGGAGGTGAGCGCCTACACGTCACAGCGAGCGCGAAGCACATTTGTCTTAGAACCTTGAGCATCCCCTCTTGTACACCTTCCAACCTTTGCTAGCTCGTTCTCTGTTTCACTCCAACGGCCTCTGATCGGTCGAGGCCACCGTCCGTCGTCCGGTCAGACCATGTGGGTTCCGCCTGCCGCGGTGTTCCTCGGCGCGACAAGACAAGCCCACGCGAAAGGATCTGAGCGAAGCGGAGCGCCATGTGCAACATCCGCGAACGTGTTTTTTTTTGTTTTTTCAATTCTATGCCGTCTATGCCCCTTCTTGAGGCTCGATGCCCTCAGGGCCTGATACTGTTGAACGGCAACCATGAGGATCCGAGTGTATTCGAAAGCTACGGGTTTTTGGAGGAGCTGCAAACCAAGTTCGATGACAACCCCATCACCCAGCAAGTCATCGATGTCCTCCAGATTTTGCCATATGTTGCCGTGGTGCCTGGCAATTTCATGGCCATGCACGGTGGCATCACCCCCGCGTTCGTGAAGGCGTGCACGGGAAAAGCTGGTCGGTTTGGC